ATTCCGACGTCCTGCATAATCGTGTTTTATAGTAATTGTTCGCCGACGTTGGCACAGCGAAAGTTACGTTAATGAAACTGTGGTCGGATGTGTGTTCGTTGAACGCGCAGCGACATAATTTAGGTAACAACTATAATTGGAACTCGTACCTCCAGGCTGTTTTCGAATGACTAAAATCAATATTTGCGTTCAAAGATAGTTGGCGATGGAAGAATTTATACAACAAAATCAGCTTCCACGTTGTAAAATTTTGCAGAATCATTTTGAGAATCATCTGTTATTTTAAAGCATAAATTAAACCTTGCAAAAACTGGTTTCCCTCTATCAATTGTATATACCCACGAGAGTATATTTTAAATCAGAGACTGTCACGAAGGTTCGCATCTTGGTGAAAGCATAATCCGATTTATCGAAGTGAATAATCAAATTTTAAATATAATAATTTAGCAAAATATATTTTCGATAAACACATAGATCGCAGCGATCTTAGGATCACACGGGAGGATAACGAGCGACGATAATAACCGGAACAAGCCTTCTCGCTAAAGTTTACCTGCTGCACGAGTTGCACGAATGCCAGTGATAGAAATTCGCGAGAGATCAATGGAAATATTAGAGACGCAACGAAAATCGGTCGGGAAGTTTGGCAATTAACCGTGCAGGGCAATTTCGCGGGAGCACATTAAATAATAAGCGAGTTCGAACAGGTCGGAATACTGCAAGTTTCTACGTTAACGTCGTTACCGTGCTTTCCGAATTGCTAAAAGCAAAGGCATTTGAACGCTCTCCGCGAGTAGTCAGGTTGCGTCGAATTCGCATTGTCTCTGTTTTATCGACCTCGCGCTCTCGAGAAGGACGATCGTGTTCGAGGAAATCTTTTCCGAGATAATTCCCGTTTAATCTACGTCTAATATCCCGCCTCGCGGATTAATTATACTCTCGCGTGGTATAAAAAAGCGGGTGTAAAAATGGGTCGCTTTGAAGATAAAATTGCGTTCGAGCTTGCAGCTAAATAAAATGCCTCAACGTCCAAGATGCAAGATTCGAGATCCAGTCTGCTAATAAAGTATAACGAACGGTCTAGGACCCTGAAACTGGGGCAGTTTCAGCTCTTGCATAATATCCTACAAATAACAGGGCAAAGTAGATTACTGGAAAAATTAAGCTAGAAGCTTGTACACTTTCAGCGAATAATTAGATAAACATGAAGGCTGCAACATCATTTTTAAGGTAGACACGGTGCAAAGACTGCAGGTAGAAACCGCTTTATTTATTCTATATACCGTCTCCCCTTCGCAAAATAAACGTTATTTTCCACGAACAATCGATTCCACGATCTACAACGTTAATAACGATGAAAGAATATAAAATCAAACAGGATACATTAACGCTAAACGTACCGAGTGGGATCAAATGAGCCTATTCAAAATTTACTATATAATTATAAATTTATCGTTATTTCTTTTGCTTATCTAACTTTCTGTAAATTCTTTGCATACCTTATGTACCACGAGGGATTATTTGACTCTTTATGGTAATAATAGGTATGTGTAAGTGAATAGGTACGTTTAGTGTTAAAATTCAGACTCCATTGCTACGTTCAATTCAAAGCCACGATGTCTTCTTTGTGCAAAAATTCAGTCTACGACCTACGCGTTCATCTAAAACCACGCTATGGTCATCCATGCCGAAGAATTCAGTGTACAATTCCGCTCCAGCTGCCTCCCTACAAATACTCCATTCACCTAAATCCCCTAACATAACCCTGGACGCTGCACTCGATCAGCGAGCAGGTCAACGTAAACCGACTCGAACGCGTCATCCAACACCGGCTGGCCTTCATCCACGCGACCAGAATGGCCGCGACAGGCCTGGTTAAAGATTCCAGGACAAAGGGTTAAATCGCGTTTAAGGGTTAAGCGGTGGCCGGGCGAAAATCTCGTAGCCATAGATCCGATTCGATAGCACCCTAATCGAATTCGGTCCGCGGGGTTGCAGTGTTTGCGCAGGTCGGTGATCGGGTATCTTTGGCTTGTCGCGGGCCACCTGTGAAATTGACCGCGTAATCATCCGATATCGACGCTTTGTCGAGCTCGCTGACTCGTGTGTCACGGATATTTATATACGATCCGCGGGCACACACGCGTCCGTCGAGCGTATTTTATGCCCTCCCCAGTGTGACAAAGGCCGCTCGATAGTCGTTGCCAACCAGCTCCGTGGACACCGTGTCTTCCCCGTTGCCTATGGATCGGATTTTTCCCCGCGAAGGAAATCTCAGCCGTGGCTTTATCCACGATCCGATCGATCCTCCGCGGGATACGCACGAGTCTCCTCTTTTATGGATCGCGAGGATGCGGGTCGCGAGCGGTGGACCCGGAACAGTGAGGTTGCAGACACTCTAGGGGTGAGAAACGGACTGCTGCGGGTGCATCTTTTTTAGCTGATGGAAACGCGCCGAGCTTTCGTCGAGGGTGTAATGTTTTAGCGACACGAGGGATGCATTGAAATTCGATGCCGGAGTTTTCTTTGGATAAAGGCAGGGTCGTCACCCGCATCGTGCACAGGCACGTTTCAACGCGATGACGTTTTTCCATCGAAAAAGAAGAAGGGATGATAGTTCGTTTTAGTATGTCGACTGGTATAATGGTTTCCATATGTGTTGCTCTATCGGTGATAAACGTTGAAACGACTGTGAACTTCGCTAAGTTCATTCTATCGCTATGAAGTATCTAATCAACTTTAAGACCAACGCACAGAAGCTTATTGCGAATAATCCGGGACAATTGCTATTATCATTTGAGGATACGTTAAAAGCGAACGCTGTCTCGGCGTTACAACCGCCATTAACGTGTATGCAAAGGAAAATGGCGCTCGGAGAACGTGGGCTCGCATTCCTTCGCAAAATCCTGAGCTACAAGATTTAAACGCGAATTAAGCACCTCGTAATGATAATTCGTTTAGCTGCTTAAAATTAAATATGGCGAATCCTTTGTTACAGTTTTAATTATCATTTAATTATCACGATCATTTCCCAAATGGTGTATAAAAAAATTCTAGACTCCTTCCAGAATATTTTTTAAACAAATTGGTTCATCTTTCTAGAGTTTCTCAGTTACTCGTTCGCGATGGAATATTATTATTACTAATACGATTATGCGATCGCAAGTGACGACTCTAAACCCAGGCGATTTTCTGTCGTTAAATTCTCCAGAAGCCCCGCGGTTCGAGTAATGCGGTATTTTAAATACCAAGGCAAATCGCTTAAAGCCCTGCAAGTGTCCATTATCGGCGGTTATTTTCGCTCGACTGAACTCTGACCATTAGCCGTGGTTGTAACATCATTAGTCGTAACAACGAGAACGTTTGATCTTCGATATGAGAAGCGTGAAACGAGAGCCTGTTACACGGTGTGAGAATGCACGAAGCCTTTTCGGAATAGGGTATGATAATCTGGTCAGGGTCGAAACTACCCCTTGGGGAAGCATTTTTCGAGGGCATTACGGAAACTTTAAACGTAATGGGAATTTCTGACGATAGCAGGATTCGAAATTTATAGATGGCTCTGACGGTAATTGCGACGTTCGAGGATTCTATTTCGCTGATGATAAAGTCCTTTCTAGTTTACTCAATAGGACCTAGAAGCAGCGAATCCTTCGACCAGGGTGTTTTCAGATTTAGCGGCGTGTTTTCTAAAAGTTTGCCAAACTGAAATTCTTCGACACGGTTAATATCGAATGTACTAGCTGTCGAAGTTCAGAGCACAGAATAGTTTACGTGCATAGTTCAGGGTAGCTTCGCCAGTTCGAGAGTAATAAAATTTGATAGGATTGTTTGATAATTTTCGTACGAAATTGAAATTTTCATCGACTCGGTAAGCGCTATAATACCGGTATCGGTGTCATAATCTTTTGGTCTCTTTTTGGTTACAAATATAATTTTCGGACATGACTCGATTAAGTACTAAACTTTGCCGTTCCTCTGTTATTTGCTTATCGGGATTTTCCAATTTCCAAATAGCTAACCGGAAGCGGTGATAGCGTAGATTCGTATACATATAGTCCCGATGAATAAATTGGATAGAGAAAGGGTCAATCAGATTGCCGGAATGGGATTCGATCCTCAATTTTTCGTCCGCGATAGTACTCGAGCCGATTGACCCAGTCGGCCTATCGATAAATTCGTCTCCAAGACCGGTATCCGAAATATCTACTTCCTGCGGAATTCATCTACGGATATTAATCAGACTATAAAGCAAACATCCGATATTACGACTCCCTGCACGCGACGATACTTCGACACTCGGTAGAGCACTCTTTAAACACAACTGCATTTTCACCTTTGACTAGCATTGCGATTACCCTCATCAGAAATCCGTGAAATCCTTGATCAACACGTTCTTAATTAGCCAGCCTCCTATAGCGCGAAAACTCCGAAAGTACACTTTGCTTACACTCGGTAGCTACGAACATCCACGATCACAAACAACCCTGAATCTCCGCGATCCCGAAATTCCTAACTCGTTTCAAACACGCTTCTCGGCCTTCCACGAAGCAACTCTTGCACACTTTAAACTTTGTCCAACGAGAAACGAGACGAGGTAAAAGGTAAGGCAAAAGGTAAGGCACGCGTGAGAAAAGCTAGGCCGACACGCAATTTTAGTTACCTTGTAGCACCCTGTACCGAGGTATAACGAAATAAGAGGCTATTTTATAAAGGACAAGTAAACTTCGTCTCTCGTCAGTGGCAGCTGAAATCTGACGGCAGAGTTTGTCAGACAATTTGGACAGAGAGAACTCGAAGGAACCGAAGGGATCTATTACGGAATATTCTAAGACGTCTATCCAACATCAAACACGCGAATCTTCTGTTCACATTTCCATCTCGTCTCGTTGGACTTAGTCGGGGTATAGAACAGTGTCGTCTCTGGGAAAACGAAAGGGTTAGGAGAAGATGGAGAACGCGAAGAAAGATGTTTGAGATGTCGGAGGTAGAACGCTTACCCCTGAATGGAGTACGAGTTGGGTATCCCATCCAGGCTTTCCCTGCTGATGTCGTCGGCCATGGCGACTTTCAGCTGATGCCCGAAGCTTGCCAGGTCTTCCCTGAATGCCTCGCTGCCGGGCGTAAGGGCGCCGCTCGTCAGTGGCAGGGGTGTCGCGTTACTTCCTTCACCCTCTCCGCCGTCCTCGCCATCCTCGCCGCCCACGAGGACCTCCTCGTCTTCGTTGTAGATCTTGAAGTAGGCGATGGTGAGGTATATCACCGAGATTATGAAAGACGGTATCGGAATCGCCATCGCGTACACCAGATTTATGTACACCTGCGGGGAACACGTCATGGAACCACACGGGTTGCCTCAACCTTCATTTCCGCTTTCGCGCGACACTCTAAGGGACACCTGCGCTTCTATGGACGGTCAGTGAAGCATCGTGGAAAGGATCGCGAAGAATTTATCGGCGAAGCGATTGGGTTTGCGAGAGGTCGGTGGAATGTTGGACGGGGATAATTCGATTCAATTTTGCTAGATTTTTAAAGATTTTTAAAGATTTTTCGCGAGACACGCGAAATACAGAATGATCGGTCGGGGGTCAAAGGAGGAGTGGAAAATTAGATATAGCTTAGGTATGGCTTTGGTAACTGTTTTGCGAAGATTATTAACTCTTTGGGGCACGCTGGGATTAAAATTGTCCCTCCTTCTTGATGCACCGTAATGCATTGTGGGACATTTTTAGTCCCACCCTATAACAATAAATTCAATTAAATTATTACTGTTATTTTAATTTTTATATTTTACCAATTTTGTTTCATTTAAAACGCAATAAAATTTCGATGCAACCTGTGTCTATTTTATAATCCGAAATTCAGTGCCGCAAAGAGTCAACACGTTCACCTTTATGGCGGCCACTGGTCTGCACGTTTAGACCTTGCTGGCGAATACGCTTGACGGTGAATGTGCCTATGATTTAATTTCAGTATAAATTTATTCACACGCTAGATTTAATTCAAGCGTAATTTTAATAGCGTGACGAATGTGGCTCGAGCAAGGAGTTTCCATTACCATTTGTAAATAATATGGAAGACGAAAACAGCGAGATAATACTCAAATAACCCGGGATTTATATTTGAGAATAACTTTTCTTCCAAAATCTCGATCTTATCACCCACTCAGGAGAAAATCTCCGCATCTCGGGAGCGTCGTTAATTTAGGAAATTGACACACGTAGCGCGCCGGGAGTGTCAAGCTTTTCCGACGACGGATCCACGATGTTATCGTCGCTTTATAATAGCCAGGGTGGTCGTTCCTTCTCTCTCTTTCGCCTCCCACGTCTTTCCTGCTCTCTCGCTCGCGCGGATTCAATTCCACGGCAGCTGAAGAGCGGACGAGCGAGAAATTTTCTTTTCTTCCGGACAGAGCGGCACGAGTTTCATCGGGTACGATGGTTTCCGTCTTTGTCGTCGGGCCGGGCATTCAGCCCGCTTGAAATGCATTGTTCGTCATCGTGCAGGCGGCTACGTTTCCGTAAACGTAACGGAATTCCACTGTGCCTCGCGCCGCCGGAAAATCGTTTTCCACGCCGAGATACCGCCGGATCGCCCTTTCCACTCGCGACGTCTGTTTCTTTTTAGATCGCTTCGGTATTTTCCATCGACGCGCCCAGTAATTTGCGCGATTAATTTTTCACTTTCTGCTTTCGCCCGCGAATTTCTTCCGGCTCGATCGCGTGCTTCTCGCGATGGCTGCTAGACGTAGAAGAATAGATCCCGCGGATTATTCTGCCATTTTGAATTTCGTTCTTATCTTATTTACTGCTACGCGTTGGATCGATTATGTCGTACCGTGTGGATTTTTTAAATTTTTTGTTTTCACAGTCTCCGTATTCTATAGCTTTTATTATGCAATACAATCTTCATAATTTTGTAATTTTAACAGTGTACTGTTCTTATGATCTTGCAATAAAGGTTTCGACGATAAATAAATAAATGGAAGAATTGGCCAATTTTAATCTAAGACAATTCCCTCAAAAATCATCGTAGGATAATAATAATTTTGTCATAATAAAGCTTGAAATGTCCACTTTAAGACGATATGTATGCATTTTACGTTTGATGCACCCTCTCGACTGTAATTCGTTAAATTCGAGGGTACGTTTGTCACACTGAAAATTACCAAGTTCGACGAAACTCACGGATTGGGAAAAATTTTTTTCGGGTATGCCATTTAGAGCAGAGCAAAGCCCGATCCTTCCTCTTCAATTTGAGATAAAAATCAGGTAGCTGCGATTTTTTTTCGCGAAGTTACAGCGCTCCGAAGTAGCCCGTGCATTTTTGAAAACGCAAATGATTCGTTGCTTTCTATACACTCGGCTTACCCTTGCATTGCCTTCTTATATCCGAAACCAGTGATTCACTGTACTCCGCTCTTGAAAGGGATCAAATCCAATTCGCCATTGAATTGGCAAAACGAAAAGTTAAAAGCATCTCGTCATACGAATCGCTGAAAGCAACCCCCGTTCCACCCCCTCGCAGACAAATTGTCGCCGCGGATTCCATTACGTAATTACATTCTCCGCGATCTTTTTGTTCGCTTCAATTTCGGTCTTCCCTGATAACAAGTCGAAGGGAACTCGTCGACAATCGTCTTCCATCTTCGTCGTTCTTCCTCCCCATTCAAGCGGCCGATACAATCATCGTCAATTACACGAGCCCGCGACTCCCTGGTCTTTGTGTCCCAATTAAAGCAGATACCGATCTTCGTTAATAATGAGCAATGTTACGTACTTAACCATTTACAGGGGAGACGCTGTTCGCTGCATAATGCACTATGCCCTCAATAGGCACCTGCAGTATCGATTCACGGTCCGACGTTCCCGTCGACGGTAAACTCGTACGAAAGTCACACACGTAAATACCACTTTCGCGTGACTCGTACGTGCAAGCACCGGGCGTAAATCGGCGATGTCTGGAACAAGGTGACCGGGTTACACCCTGAAGCGAACGACACGTCACTGCGACGAGATTCGATTCTTATCCCTCTCGATTGCCGTAATTCCGATCCACCTCGTACACTCGATTTCTCGCTACCATTTTCCACCTCGGTCACCCCTTTCGTCGAACGGGTATCGCGATTTCGCGTCTCGTGCATTGGCAACCGCTCGTTGTCGATTCGAATCGCCCTCCAATCACCGTCGAATCAAGAATAGGTATTTTCTCACGAATCGAAGTCGTCGCTTAGTATAATAATTTACGAGTACAATGTAATTCTCGTATGGATAATATTTATGGGTCTCTTTGCATATTTAAATAAGATCAAGATTCGGGAAGAATGGTTATTATTTATACACCGTTTCTTGTACTTTGACCCATCGAGCCACCCCAGAGAAAGAGAGCAAGGAACTCAAAAGGTAAGTGGCAGAAGAAACGCAAAGGAAAATGATCTTCAACCCCTGGGATGCAACACAGAGCAAAGGTTGAACACAAAATAAAGCCAATTGGATGACAGGCAAAGGACGTGGACGCTGAACACAAAGTGCAACGAAGTTCAGGTTAGACCTTGGCGTGGTCCACAGGGATGGAAAATAGAGGCACACACGAACGCACACGCAAAAGAGGGGAAAATAGAAAATCGTAGAGAGACCTGCCACATGTCGAGGTCGCTGATGACTATCCCGGGGTCCACTTTCGAGTAGTAACAGCTAAAGTTCTGCCCTATGCTGGCGTACTGCCGGTAGAAAATACTGCAATTCAGCATTGGAGGGTATCCACAGCCTTTTACGTTGGGGAACAGCTTGGCCCCGGTGAAGTACCACTCGGAGTCGTTGCCCATGAGCCCTGCGAACTTCGCCTCGTTATCATCCCCAGTCGTCTCGCCCGCCCGTCGACAGACATTCCCGTCAGAGAGGGTGAAAGTGGACATTGTTAGCGTGTTTCGCGCGACAGCGTGCTCGCTGACGTTCGAGAGTTCGAGAGTTCCAGGGTTCAAACGATAATGAATTTTGCTCTTTCGTTAGTGGAACGTGTTGCACGGTGGTTGGTCGCTTCTACTAGCCCTGGCTACCTGACCCGTTGTTTCCTGTCTTCTCTTTTGTGCCATGCTACCGCGAGGTCTACGCTTTCTGACATTTCGGAACTGGGTCGAATTTCGACTGTCGTGCGGGGTTGTTGCCGTTTTATTGCCTTCGCGCGTGCTTTTACACCGTTTTGCACCTTCGGCTCGAGCTAGACGTCCACGGTGCTTGGTGCAGAAGAATTACGAGCGAGATAATTCAGCTCGGGAATTTTTCATCGCCAATTACTCGCGATAAAATTCGATTCTCAACGACGAGGTGACGCGTGGAAGATAGCGCGTGGAAATAACAGGATATTTCGCTATTTCCTTACGATAAACTATGGTCAGGAGGATGTCGATATCCGAGCAGTTGCACGGAAGTTTAGACTCGGAGAAAGGCGGACTCGGAATATAGTGGAAAGTTTCGAGAATGTCTCTGTTGGCGCGCAGCCCCGCACGACTGCTCGGTGTCAAGAAGAATACGGAGCCGAATGTTGGATCCAGACAGGGGTAGCACGAGGGTCCCCTCGAACAACAGAGTGAAACGGAGAGAAATACTGGAAGAAACTTCCTCCCGTGCTTATCGTTTTACTCTGTCGGAGGCAGTCCGGAAACGCTCGCGTGATCGTGTCTTAAACGTCCAACGCACCGTCACGTCTCCACTCAACGACGCAAGTTTCCATTTCCCTGCTGCGATATGAAATTCCTTTCCCTTCAAACTTTCCATCGAACGTTCGTATACTTATCCTATCGGTGAACTGGTCGATGAACCGTCTCGTTCATCTTCCCGTTTCCAATCATTTCCGATGACTTTCGAATCCGGAACTTTGCGAGGTCTCGAAACCCCCGAAACGCGAAACTTTCCAGATAAAATATAATTCGGGTAAACGCAGAGACGGAGAAGTTGGGAAATTTGCTTGGCTTTCGAAGGGTTTCGAGCGTCTCACCCGTAACAAGGATTCGAGTTAGGTCGACGATAGTGCAGGCGTAACGCCACAGCACGTTACCCTGTACCTGTAGGAAAGGGTTTCGGCAGTCCTGCTTCGTCGTCCTCGGCGACATCCTCGTCAAGGTCCTCGACGTAGTCGTACTCCCTTAGGGAGCGCTCGTAACGCGGTAATCCCATCGTCGTGCCGTTTTCGTCATCCTCGACACCTCCTACCGCTCCGCCTCCCTCACCCTGTCCATCGCTATCCTCGGACGTATTAGTAGGTAGCTTGTAGTTGACGCGTATTTGCTTGCAATCGTACAGCTCCTTGGTGCAACCCTCTCTACAGGATGTCCATGAGCAGTTGCTCGTACCTGGACTCAACGGATCGTTCATGGACTTTCGATCGGAGGCTCGTCCGACAACGTGGACACGAAGAACACGAACGACTAACACGACAGAGACTGGGTGCACGCCGAAAAAATCACACGATGCAGACCGACGTACCCGTGGGGTAAGCGGAAACGAAGATCGAAGACTGGTACGAATGTTTCGGATTTCGAGAAGCGCGTGACAGTGATCGTTTTCGAAGTGACGGAGAAGTCAGAGCTCGAAGATGGACACGTGCTACTCGTTGTTTGCTGTTGCTTATAGTTTGCAAAATATCGTACTACGACAAAGTGATCTTCGATTTACTGGTTGACAAATTAATTTTGACTCGGCAGATTCAGAACATTTTATTACACGAGCTACCGTGGAGCACAAAATTTGCTCACCTATTGGATCGCTGTGAAACACTCGCGTATAGATTATGCCAGGTAAACACCGAGAATCTGGGAATTTGAATATTTCAATTACAAATTGGTATCACGCTAGCGAGCCGTTTAAATTAAAAGCAGGCTAGGATTTAATGCCGATATTCGATTAAATTTAACGATTAGAACAGCAAAGTACGCTACCGGTAAACGCGTTTTCGTTAATAATCGGAAACAACAGCAAACACTTTTGACAGTGGAAACTTGGATCGATAAAAGACACTCAACAAGTGGTAAAAAAACACACAATTTTTCGACGTGCATCGTGTTACACGAGCGGTGAGAAGTAAACGAAGACGGGGTGGATATTTAAAAGACACACATGGGGCGAGTGTCATGACCTCAAGAATGGAACACGTAAATCGTTTAAAAGAGGAGCGGGGGTGGGGGTGAAGTTGACCAGGGAGGAAAAATGCACGGTGACTTCCTCGAGATTCTCGAGAACAAGAAAACTGTAGCAAAGTTCTCAACGTAGTCCCTGAGGCAGGTTACGAAATCCTTGCCCTGACCTCGTCTTCCTCCTCGAAACTTTCGCGGAGGAAAACTCCAGCAATGATGTAGTTGACATACCGGGTCACACTTTTGGATAACGTCCAATCTCGGCAGTCTCCGGCTCAAAATTCACGCCATTACGATTTTAATTCTCTTTCCGCTAGTTAGAACTTGGATCCTTGAGTTTAACTTATCGAACGTCCGATTCGTAAAATGTATTTCCTGGAAAAGTATTTTGTTTTCAAGACAGTAAACAAGAATGAAATAAAATGGTACTTCGACAGAAGTATTCGGAGTGTAATCGGATTTTCAGGTGAATTTTTGTATCGGAGGAATCGAACGAGTGGTTCATTTGTAAAAGTGATGGATTGGAAAAATTTAATTGCCGCGATATGGTGTCGGAGATACGTGGAAGGTAATTTGACTTGTCAATTAACCACGGCTGCATGGGTGTTCTCGCGTAGGGCAGAATATAATCTAACTTCGTGCATTTTCTTCCCTGCGCAAATTCGCCCCCGAGTTCCTGTTCTCGTTGAAATCCTATTACGAGACATCAGCTACGTGTAATAATCTTGGCGCTAGTTGTCGGTGTTACTTGTTCAATTGCATCCGAAGTGTTTGCGATGAACGAACAACGTTATCACCGAATCACAAACGTCCTGGGAATTAAGCCTTTGAAGTGGCATCTTACCAATAACGATTATGCTATTTCACTGTATACTGAGCAGCATAACGATCGAATTTTGTAACGAAACTAATTAAAAATTTGGAAATAGTAAATTTCGAATTATTTTTAATTGCAAAATAATATAAAAATTGACAGCTTAAAAAGATTCGCTAATTTGAGTAATTTCTATCGTTTTAATGTAAATTCCAATTCCAATGAACGTGGCAAATGCGACTTCAAGGACTCGATGTAAATGCATAGACACATCGAGAGTTGCAGAAAATTTATAACAGAGTTAACAGAAAAATCGTGAATTACAGAATGTAATCGAGTTCGAACGACACGAGCATGGATAACAGAAATCTACGGAAGACCAAAAGTGCATTGGGGACGTCTACAGAGTAGGGATGGAAACCACGACAATTAATAGAATATGAAATACCAATGGTAACCAACATGGAAACATGTAGCGCTCGGAGAAACGGAATTCACATACACATTTAAACGCTGGGACAATTGGAAATTGCATTTGGTGTACGTACATTCAGACAACGTGCGATAAATACTGAATCTTTTTACAACTGTGTTCGCAGTGGTCCGAAAGTTTACACTGGAAATGAAACAATAATCTCTGAACACCCAAATGACGCTATCAGCTTCAGAAGAATTTACAAAAACAAATAAATTTATCGAACGGAAAACATTAATTTCGATATTACCGTGCTCAATTTCTAAATTCATATTTCACATTTCGCAATCGAATTAAGACCTCTAAGAGCAATGAAAATGATACAAATAGTTACACATCGGACCTAACCTCAAAACTTTTAGGATCATTCGTTTGACGGGGGTGCTTGAGGAATTTTTTAACGAAAAAGCTAGCAATGGGTGCTCTAGGTCTACCTTCCAGTCAATTTTTCACGTATCAAAGAAACCACGATCGATTTCCAAAAACGGAACTATTTTGCATAATCCAGGAAATGCACGATGGCGTTAAATCTAGGATTTTTCGAGCTCGTGTAATTAGGCGCTTTGCCATACCCTCGTCACCGACGTGTACACACACACAGTGTACACTGCACACACGATCGAGAAGGCAGACGTCGGGGCACTCGATCGTTGGAGAATACCTGCAACCTACGACCGCTGGCATTCGACAGAGGACCTGAAGTGTAAGCACGAGGGTGACGAAAGAGGGAACACACAGGGTGTAGGCACAGGGGTGGCACACGTTCGGATTGCTCGAGACCGGCTCGAATGCCGTGAATACAAAGACACCAGTTGCGTCGATCTTAGCCTCGTCTTCGTCTAGTGCCTCTTTAGCGGCGCTATTACGTCGATATATCGATAACGCCGTCGTTTACCGAGCATCTAGCGTCCAATTTGCTGGCCCGTTTCTTGTCGAGTCGACATGGCCTATTCCGGCTTCGCATAATTTTTCCGCCATTCGTCTGGGTCAGGGTTTCTCAAAGAGAGCCACGTCTAACCGTCCAAGAAGCCTAACGCGTAATTTTTGGGGTCCCGTGAAGAAGTGGGGGAACCGACGAGTCATCAAATTACGTTTGTAAGTCTAAATTAATACTTTGTCTCGACAAAAATGAAATAATTCTTTAACAATCCCTATAACAATCTGTAATCCCAGCAATCTACGATACAGGGTTGTACCTTCACGTGACTAGTGACAGAAGACAGTAGCCTAATGACTCTAATAGATATTTATTTGCAAATGTAATAATGTATATACACGCGTGCAAATGGATTTATAAAAATAAAAATGAATAAATAGGGGGAGAGAATCACAGATGTTGCATCGATGTTCAGAAAGGAGTTAAAACAGGTTGAGAAACCCTGATCCAGACGTTAATTAGAAGGCAACCGGGCAGACTCGAACTGGATCCAGACGAAAGAACGAAAGCTCACCCCCTAACGTTCGCTTTCGATGCGGCTCTGTAGGGGATTCGGAGGTCTGCAGGATTATTACGGACTATTCAATCGTAATTTCGCTTTTCAAAAGGAAGAACGATGGTTTATCGGATTTTGTTTAAGAACAAACTACGAAACGCTGTCAAAATCGGAGCGTGTGACCGAAATTTTCCCGAGCGAACGTGTCCGATATGTCGGTTAAACTTTGCACAAAATAGAATCCTCTAATTCCGAACCGTACAAGCTGTGACCTGACATTAGCCAATTTTACATACACGAACATATCTCCGAATTATTAATTCAGCTCGGCTTAACATTTAGGGAACGTAGAGGCCGAGAAGAGACGATTGCCAAAACCTTGTCGCGTCCATAATATAGCAGCGATCGACCGCGTGTTTTATAACGATCAAATATTCAGGGGGTCAGCACAGTTGTGCGTTTCCAATGGCGATCGATGCACCGGGCTGTAAATAACGGAAGAATTATTCAGACGACTGTCGAAACTTCCAGGCTACTCGAAAATTCGCCTACTTGATCAACGATATCCGCGAGCAACGACCGATCCGGAGGGACAATCCCCAACGGGAAATCAATTTTTGACTACCACGACGGGTTCGCGGGGTTACCAAAACGCTGTCCACGAGAATTACGACGGTCGTGTAGTTTTTTAACGTGCTTGAAAAATTGATTGACGCGTCGAACGTCCAACTGGCCGTGCAGTCGCACACGCTTCGAACGCTTCACAGTCCAGGAAGCTTCTGCCGCCCTATCGACCGCTTCACCCTCTCGTTTTAACCCTTCTATTTAAATCTTGTTTCCATGAAAATTAACACGCGGTACCCGCTGGAAATATCGGCGGAAATCGGACTCTGGGGGCGGTCGAATTCAAACGGGGACGCGGGAAACGTCGATATCGGCTTCTCCCTTCGACTGGGCTTTCGTTCGTACTCCGCGTTATTGTTCCTCGTTACCATGCGACACGCGACGGTAATTTTCATCACGGTTCTCTCGTTTCGTATTTCGCTCGCATGAAATCGCCGGCCAATTTTTCCTGTCGCTCATTCCTGGATCTTTCTTTAAAATCGAGTGGCCGACGCGACGATGCAGATCGATAAGCTATCACGATGGCCATAAGCGCGTAGAGGGAGGAGACGCGCGCGTGAACGATTATGGGGTTGCATCTGAACGGTCGGGCGATCGAAATGAGTAATCGTTTCGTGGTGTGAGTATCGATAGATCGCATAACAGCGATAACCGTTTGTCGAAACTGGAGCAGATGTGGGGTTTCATGTTTGTCGGCGTGTTTTGGAACGGAAGTAAGTATTTCGAATAAATAAATGGCGGTAATATTATGGGATTTATGTGATGGTTTTGGGGAGAATAGACGTGTTTTGACGTATTAACAAGTTGACTGTCATGGTGGTTATAAATGACCGGCGCTTGCTTCCTCAGTGGGGTCATGGTGGCCACCAGTGTTAGGTGACACTAATTTTCTAAATTTATATTTGTTTCATTGTAACAATTTTTTGAAAATTTGAAGAACGTATATAAATAGAGAATTTTGAACAATAGACATTAATAATTTGCACCATTTTCTTTTTTTTCTGTGCCATATTGTTTGATAATTTATCATTGTGTCCTAAAAATAATGGAAATTTTATCACGGCCTCCCGAGAGTATTATATAGAAGGTACATGGCAGTAAAAGTGTTAAAATGTGGGTTTTCTTTTCGTCTCCCGAGTAGACGCGAATTAAATGCTTTGTGCGACTTGGATTGCGTGTTGTTCAACTGTTGAGAGAGGTTCGTGTCCTTTTATGATATTTTCTAGTGTAACCTAGTTATATGTCACTGAAAAAGCGCAGGAAAAACGCGGTAATGTGAGCAAGTGGGGGTGATTTGTGAGATTCTCCCAGCGACGAGAAATATTAAAATTTATTAGGAAATATCAGCAATTTTTGGAACGATACTTGGAACTCGACATTAATCCGTTTTTTAACGAAGAGAAACATTATTTAGTAGTCAAATGATGCAAGAATATACGGTAATTCCGAAGGATGAAACAATTCATGGTATATCTCGATTACTCTACCAAGTTTCAAGGATTAAATATTTCTCACTCGCTTCTGTTTTCCCGAGGCAACGATAAAAATGGAAAAATTCTCGACAAAACGAAGCGTACTATTCTCCATAGCTCATTAAATCGCGTTCCGTTGAACGAAATAAAACGCGTGCTTTCCGTCGATATTCGTAATTTTCTCCGCGAATACGATGCTCGGCGTCACAAATTGCCCCGTCGAACGGAATAAATATAATTGGAATGCCACGACGTAGTTTCCAAAAACGTCGATTTATGCACACGTCCCTGCCTATCCTAAATAATCAACAGAGGACAAAGGTTTCGCGGCCGCGAAATCCGTGTCCGTCTCGTTCGAATGTTAAATTAAATGTCATTGCCTCCGTATCCGAGCTCGGGCATGGAATATTAAATCTGTCGTGCGAACCGTCCAACGACTGTCTGTCAAAACAGCCCTCGTTATCCGGCCCGTGCTGGAAATAGTTTTCTCAATCATTCATGCAAATCGTATATTCCGACGGTGACCCTATTTCGTGAATTGGAACGAATCGATTTATACACTCCGCAGTTCCTTCCACGCATATCCCGTCTTTCCTGGGTCTCCAACCGAATACACGTTTTCGACGCCATCTCCAACTTCCACCCCTGTTTCTCGTCCGCGAATTGGTACACCGAGCAGGGTACACTTTGAATAGTTAGAGACGGGGTATACGAGGTCTGAATTTAACTTTCCGCGGACGAGAAGTGGAGATGGTGATGCATAAAATATACAACAACTCGAGGGAAGTCGTTCGAACGAAAAATATTCACGATAGCGACGAAAATAATCGCGATATTCCAGGTTAGATCGATTGGAAATTAATCGGCCATTTTGAAATTTCACGATTGTAAAATTATTCACAGGACCTTCGATCGTGGTTGATTCGATTAGAGGTGTCGAATAATATTGGATCTCGTTGATTTTGTTAGTAGATTCGTAGATTGGATTTATTAATCGATCTGACGATAAGGGATTGATGGAGTTACATTTGGAATTGGAATATGTCAATACGCGATTGCATATTGTATGAAGGACAGAGAAATATTAAATTCTTCCTGAATATATTACCTCCACCTTTGTATTATATTTCTCCTTGGATCTAAAATAATTTTGTACCGTGAGAACGTGCAGAATTCCTGTCAGAATTTTTCCAAGTCATTTGAAGAATGTTTTTAAAATATATTCTAAATCTATCTTTCGTTGATTCTGCTTTTAAATCAAATTTACCGGTTGTTGTAACGAAAGCGCTACTACGTTCCTGAGATAAACGATTCGTGCGAAATGTGAAATATAAAACTGCACAAAAGACAACCTTTTCAAACACTTGACACGGACAAACCGTGCATCCTCGTTGCAACGCGTATCCCTGATAATTCTCCACTGTTTAATGTACATCGAACACGTACAAACGTACAGCTACGCGATGCTTAATCTCACGCGAGGCTCACAGCAGCGAACACGTACACGAGGAATTATCGAGGAAGTATGAGAGGGTAGAAAAGTATCGAGCACAGAGAAGAACACGATGCGTGTCGTCACTGGAGTTGCTTTGTATAGATCAAAGGGGTTGATAGGGGAAAGCGTACCGAACAGATGGAGAAGAAATTATTTACATCGATCCACGAGGAACGCGTGCGATGAAAATGTCGATGAACGCTTAACCGTGTTAAGCAAATGTTTTGCAACCAACGAAACTCGGAGAAAATATTTAAACTTCGAATTTAAACTTGGGACAATACGCACAAATGCAAATGAGAGGGGGTAAGAAATATTCCAGAATTTAATAAACGTGCCAAAGATTAGGGAGACCCGTAATAATAATTAAATATATTTCTGTCTCTCCGATAAGCGTCTTAATATTCGCGTGGCAAGGACCATTATCTACCAGAAAACTCAAGATTACCTCAGCGAGTTGTTCGGATCTACAACCAACGTTAAAACACTACTACATAACCTCTAATACAACTAGCAAGGAACTACGAGCAAACTAATTAATATGGAATTTACAAACAAGTCTCAACTAACCACGATAAAGATCTATCTTCACCTGGCCCGCTCTATTTACTCTCGAAAAGGGAAGAAGGGAAGAAAGAAAAATGTACCAAACTACCCTATCGTTAAAATACTTCTAGTGCAGAACAAATCAAAGACAATCCCAAGATACAAGGAAAGATTTTCAAGGACGTGGAGCTCGGGCTCTAAACCCATCGATCTAGTCCGAGACGAAGGTAGAAGAGAAAAAGTGACCTCTAAGAGAGAGACTGTGTTAGAAAAAGGGGGTTCTCATGCAACGACACAACGAAAGCAGACACCGATCTGACGAAAGAAGTTGGAACCAAGTGTCGCCGATTGTTCACCTTTCCTGGACTCAACGTTGATGGTGACACACTCGGCTGGCCGAGTGTCGAACTGCATGAAGATGGTGGTGAAGGCGGGGTCGATGACGAAGGGGACCAAGAAGAGGAAGGCAAAGAAGCTGAAGGTGCTGAGGAGGATGAAGAACGCGGTCGTGTAGAACAGCAGTTTCTGCAGGAACGTCTGCTTCTCCTTTTCCTCCGCCATCTCGGAGAACAAACGGCAGTGCTCGTTTCAGGGATGCACCTAGTTGACGTCGTCGTCTTCGTCGTCGTCGTCCTCGGCGTGCTCGCTGCCCGTCGTCACGTTCGACGTCGATGAGGCGAAACGATCTGCGGATTCGTATCCCGTTTCACACCCCTAACTACCCTTTGCTTTTGTATCGCGTTTCGAGAGATCGAGCTTTCCCCGGTCGACCCTGCATCGCGCACTCCTCGACCATGGATTTAGAAACGATCTCGATCCAAGCAAACGAACCGGAGGATCGTTACGGTTGATTGTATATTTTGACGGAGAGCTACTTCCGGCTTCCTTCCCGAGTGCCTCTGAGTTCAGGGATAAGATTTAAGGAACCTTTTCGCTTGGAGATGGTTAGCTTTGAAAGATTATCTCTGAGCAAGTAGTCCGATCGACCACACTTTCCCCACTTGGGCAGATGTTCATATATTTTCCGAATTATCTCGATTTAACTCGAGCTCTCATTGAGCACTATCGTCAAGTTCGAGGAGTCGAGTCGATTATCGAACAGTCTGCGAATTTAGCGTTCGCGTGAACACATTACACTTGGGCAGGTGTTCAGATATTTTCCGAATTATCTCGATTTAACTCGAGCTCTCATTGAGCACTATCGCCAAGTTCGAGGAGTCGAGTCGATTATCGAACAGTCTGCGAATTTAGCGTTCGCGTGAACACATTATACGCCGGTCTCGTAATATCGCATGATTACATTGGTACTATAAATATGCTCGTAGTCTCCGATTTAATCTGAATTTTAGCTTTTGGTGGAAATATAGTACGATTTTTTGAAACGTAAAATATTTTGTTGCCCGTAAGAGCTGAAGTCTACTCGGCGTATCAAGCATTGAGGTGTATCACTAGTTATTTCGTTAACGGGGCTGCAACGTCTAAAATAAAGAATTTCA